GCAACAGTTCCAGCATTTTTGTCACAACCTGCCTGGAGCAGCAAGCGCAACACTTCCAGGTGGCCATTTAGAGCTGCCAAGTGTAGGGCCGCGTGTCCACTTTTCGTTGCTGTGCCTTTGTCAGCTCCAGCCTGCAACAGCCATTGCACGAATTCTGGGTGGCCAGATTCAACGGCCAAATGCAAAGCTGATTTCCCTGCTGCTGTTGTGGTATGTTTTTCGGCTCCTTCCTCAAGCAAGAGTTGCGCCACCTCCAAGTGACCGTTTTGTGCTGCCGCATGAAGTGCCGTTGTTTGATGCTCTGTGGCTGCATTTTTGTCTGCCCTGGCCTCCAGCAGCAACCGCACAGCTGTCAAGTGCCCATTCCAGGCGGCTAAATGAATACCTCCTGCCCCAGCAATTCTCAAGTCAGGATCTTGTGGCCTTTCAAGCATCCTTTCGACTTCCTCCAGTTGATTCTTGGCACATGCACTGATCAGCGCCTGTGCACCCAACACATCTGGAGGGCAAAAATCTAAGACCACCAAATCCAAAAGGTTTGGAACCAAGCTCAGTGCTGTGTCATTGTGCATTTCTGTGCCGGTTTCATCCAAGAGCCTCTGCCGAAACCGTGAACATCCCGTCGTGGATGCAACCCACTTTTTCAGCCCCCTCACAGTCGCCGAAACGTTCGTCTCCAGCAACGCCCGCTCATCAAGCTTAATAACTTCTCCTGACTGCCTGAGTCGGACCTGCAGAACTCTGTCCGACATGGGCCATGATCGAATTCTGCAGAGTTCTGCAAGTGCAGCTCTTCCCACGCCCGACCCTCAATGAATCCTAAATAGAAGAGATTGTGTAGACCTTTGCTGACACGTCACGACCTGACTTTCAGGCCAAACGGCTGCGAATCTCAAACTGCAATGTCAAACATGGCAATGCCTTCAAGGCGATGCTGGAGTTGGATGCTGAAGCCCCCAACGCCATGCACTTGTTCACATCCAGGCACACCGCATGGGAGCCGGAGCCAAAAGACCTCAGCCACGCAAAGATCGGTCAAGGTGAAGTCTACAAAATATAATATATATATATATATACATATGTGTGTGTGATTGTATATAGTCAGGCATAGAATATGACTATATATTTTTTGTCAATCAACATAGTCAGACCTCAATCACATTCTCCGCACGGTTCGCACCCGCATCACCTGCCCCCCAGCCCCCACCCAGCTCACCCAGCTCACAGACCTTTTCGGCTGTTCACTTCCGGCTCTTCTTCCGGCCACGCCGGTCGTCCGCGGGTGCATCTGGTGGATCCGACAAGGACTTGAAGGTGCCTGGCGTCAGCCCGCAAGGCCCACCAAGCAGAAAGGAATAAGAACAAAATAAGAGAGAAAACAAGCAATGTTCGCTGCTAGGGGCTCCTGGCCTTACTACTAGGAGCAAGGACGCTAGCTACCAGGAGCATTCTTACTACTAGTAGAGGGGGGAGAGAAGGAAAAAAGAAAAGCTCAGCTCATTTCACTCCGAAGTACCTTGAGAAGGGTTCATGACGGTGCTGTACAGTGTGATGCCTTTCTCGTAGATCGGATGCTTCCACAGGATCGACCATAGCTCATCTTCCTCGACCTCAAAGGCTCAAGAGCCACCAAAGCGCATGTGGAACAGCCATGGGGAACCCCCACGCCCCTTTTCCAAGCCGTTTCCTTTCCGTGTGGCATAGCCGCGTGTCAGTGGGAGTTGAAGCATCTCCTCAACCAGCTTGCAGCGCTCCAAGGACTGTTGGTTGTCGTTGGCCATATCGTTGTCCCAATGATCCATGTTGGCTTGCACCAAGTACCTTGACCAAAGTACTCTTCCTCTGAACTTGCATGTGGCACGTTTCCCATTGTAAGCCTTGAGGGCAGCATAAACACCCCTAAAGCTTCCAAGTATATACTTGAATCACGCTAACAAATTCCCCATCCACGAATCCTACACTTTCTCTTTCACTCTTTTGCGAAGGATGTCCTCAAACCATACATTGGAAGAAAGCCAACCACCTGTGCCTAGGCATGCCTAGTCACAGCTGGTCCTCCGCGAGCACTCGCCGTTTGATCTCCGTGAGGCCATCCCTGGTGATCTGAGCAGCGCCACTGGTGGAGGCCACCAAACAGTAGAAGGGCGCCATCACAGGGATCGAGGCAATGTCCTGCAAAAAAAGCAGTCCCCATCATCTTAGATATACATATTATGATCAACACATGATATATGCATTATGATCAACTTATGGTCTTCATGTGAGAAATATGTCTTTCCCTATATCTATATATACAGTATGTCTCTAGGCCTTCAAAAAATCCGCGTAGTTCTCGTTCCTCTCCAGCACCGACCGCAAGGCCAGCCCCACGGGCAGCGCATCCACCTTCACCTCGCTCGTCTCGCTGGGCTCCCGGAAGTTTACGGCGGCAGCGTAGCGCTCGGGGCGCTGCGCGGTCAAAATCCCGATGTAACCGGCCCAGGTGGTGGCCACGTAAAGCAGCTGCCGTCCGCGGAAGACCCGCACGTCAATATTCAAAGCCTCCACAGTCACAACAAACACGAACCCATCTGCTTTTGGCCAGCACATGGCAGCAAAAACGGGGTAGGGGGGGAGTCCTCTATAGTCCCTCCCTTTTCCAGCTAAGTACATAGAGACTTCTTCGTGTTTCAGGCGAGGCAGCGCTGCCTTGAGCTGTGGAAACTCCCAATCCAGGGTCCGTGCCAAAGCGATGCTGCCATCTTCCACACGGGCTGCCACAGCAGTGCATGCGCAATATGCCTAGAACGCGCGTGATGAACCGATGGGTCCCAAGTGGCGAAATCAAAGGCTTGGCACACTCCGTGACTCTATGAAGGCCCGAACTCCTTGGCCGAACAAGCCTCTTAGATCACCATTCCGCCATTGGGTTGGAGGCCATTCTTATCGACAACTCAATTCTCAGTGCATGTTCTTACAAGTAAAAGAAATACGCGTGCCACACGAACGCACCATCCTCAGATCCCTGTGCCTCGTATTGAAGGCTCAAAGAACAGAGCGCCTGCAGTGGGACCTGTGCCGCCTCGGCCAGACCTTTGAGCTCCGCCAGCACTTCTCCCATGAAACCACCGGCACCTGGCAGGACCCCCAACCCGCCCTGGTGCCCCCGAAGGGAAGCCATCCAATCGGTGACGCGTTCCCGAATGCTCGGACCTGCTACCTGGGACCTGCTGGGATGTTGATAGTGGTTGAAGCGCGGGTTGATTGACACCTGGGCTATATGGTCAGGTTGTTTAGCAAGGGTTGTAAGGGCCAGCTCCGCGTGCAACATCACCGACTTGGATCACCCCTCTCGCTTTGCTCGATCATTACCCACTCGGAACTTCACGTCTGTGAGTAGCCCGATAGGTGGAAGGGATTGGAAGAGCATTCCCTCGACCTCTTGTGCAGAGCCGCACTAGGTCGCTCTTAGATTGGAGGCCATCACTCTTAGGTTGAAGGCCATCGCTAGAAGTAAATATTAGCACTAGGGAGTAAAGGTCATACCATGACATACCACGCCTTCCAGCCGTTCCAGCAGCTGGAGCGCCTCCTTGGCCGCAAAGCGAGCCACCCGCTGCTCCAGCGTGGCCTGAAGGTTCTGAAGATAAAACGAGAATTTGATTGGTTTGACTGATACTTGCTGATTTTGATGAAACGCATCTGACTCTACCTTGTCAACACTCATCTGTTTGAAAGGCCTTGCGCCGTCGGCCTTTCTTGGCTCTGGGAGTCTCAAGGGCCACTTGCAAGTCCTGAGAATGTATAAACGTGTCGAAACGTGTAGTCAACACCCATTTCTTCGCAAAGTGTGGACAAAACACCTAATTCGCTTTCACGACCAGGGGCTGCAAGCTTCTGCAGCATTGGCGCATAGGCCTCAAGACACGGTGAGGCCGCCTCTCTCAGATGAACACAGCAACTAAAAGCTGAAGGATGCTCTAGTTGTATGATGTTACATCAACTTCTGACATGGAGTGGTTCTCACAGACCGCGGCGAGGAGAGAGTGTCGCCATTCGAGGGCCCCGGCCCTGGCGATCTCCTGCCATCGCACGAAGGGATCCTCGTCCAAGTCAACGTCGAAGACCGGGATCTCTCCATCCATGCCCTGAAACGACATGAAACAACTGAATCTGGATGAACCTTATCGAACATCAACGCACCCGGAGACCTGTTCAAGAGAGGATCCCGAAGCAGGAAACACAATAGAGGGGGCCAAAAGCCCAGATGAGAAGAAGCACAGTGTCACAAATCATGAAACACAAAGCACGAGAATGCCAAGGCTAAGATGAACTAAGATGCTAAGGGCCGAGAGGGAGGGAGAGGGCACATATGACGAAGCACGAAGCATGAATGAACGAACCCTGCTCGCAACTCAAACAGACGTCCGGAAGCGGGGTGCAAGTATCATCTGCATCATGCTCTCACTCAGCACGCAGCACGCAGCATATATCGCAAAATGTGTCCATCATCTCCACGCACAATTCACGCTGCCATGTGATGACAAACCTGTCGATCACCACTCCCCACATCACAATAACAAGAAGCTAGTAGAAACAAGTGCATCGCTACTAGTAACAAGTGCCTTACTAGTAGTAACAAGAAGCTAGTAG